GTGACGGCTGAACCGAAACGAGACGGTCTGCTCTACGGCGGATTCCCTGTTTGCGTCACAGCACCGCTGTTCCCGCACTTAGCATCGCATTATGAAATGCCGCTCCTGTCAAGTTCTTTTAAAGTTCTTTAAAGATGTAGACAGAAACTTTGATTTTAGTTTTTTTTATTTTTTTCATTTATTAGAGCTGGAGATGCCTCTCTCTGTCTGCTCCTTGCTCCCTAAACCAAAACGTTGCGAAGGATCCACCCATTGGATCCTTTGTTGCCACGGAAAAGAAGGACACATTTCTCAGTCACGTATGAAGGAGGCTTCGAAATAGGACAGCCGAGTCATGCCGGTGTGACGCAATTGGCCTTCAAATGCAGCCTCCGTAGGGTGCAGCCCCTGAATTGGGACACATTGGGACACAACAGAGTCACCTGGACATTTACCATGATCTCTCCCCAGTTCCAGCTCCACCCCTGACTCCACCCACTCATAATCCTAAACACTTACACTCCTTGCTTTAACATGTTAAGTTGTTGCAAAAAGAAAAAGAAAACATGCTCATTCAAAAATGAAAAGCATTTTGGAAATCTAAGTGTCCCCAAACTTTTGACAGGCAGCATATGTAGTCTACAGACTCAAACTGGGCCTCAAAATGTATCTTATTATATATAAGGAGTATTTTGACTTGAATCTCTTTAAGCCACAAAAAGGATGAATCGTTAGATTTGGTGTGTGTTTGCATGAGGTTGTGCTGAGGTGACAGAGCTTCATCTGTCTGCCTGTGTCTGTATAAATCAACTATGATTCTGCTGGAATCCTTTCCATTATGTTTGGGCTCTTGTGTGGCTAAACTCAGCTTACGGCTGAAAGAAGGAGAAAAGTATCTATAAATCATGTTTAATAAGCTCCCCGTAGGAAGATCAATATGCTCATAGCACCCCAGAACTCGGCTCCACTGTTAGCATTCGTCAGTGACAAGCGCTCTCTGAGTAACGCTTTGCTCAGAGGGGATATTTTCACAAAACTGCAGTTGATTCTGCCACAGATGGCAGCAAAGCGAACAGGGGAAAGTTCCTATTTGGCAGTTAGTGCACCCTTCGTATCTAAATCTTGATCAAAAACATTCTCCTTTTTTTCTGCTTCACTTCTGTAGTCCAAATTGTACAATCAACAATATTTGTGTGAAGGGCATATTTTGAAGATCAGACAGAACATACAACATACAGAGCTCTTTGCTCAGTTATTTATCTGTTACGCTTAAAAGGGGAATAATCAGGAAAGCGTCTTAACACAGTTGTTAGATGATTTGAGAGAGTACCTACACTCACTGGCCATGTTGTCAAAACAATCTATCAGCCTCCTCTACCCTGAAAGGGACCACCACAGGACCACCACTGACCAGATATTATGGGGGCTGTGGATCATTCTCAGCACAGTAGTGATACCAACATGTTAATTAGGCATGTACCAATACGACATATCGTATTGTATAACATTGTATTGCACTGCATTATACAAATAAATCATGATAAGCGCACGGTTAATGTGTTAGCTTTGGGCTTTGGGTTAACTTTAAAGCACAGCTTTTGTTTCAAATATTGTACTTTTATAAGGCTGAATGCTCCAATAAACTGAAAACAGAAACATTAACATATTAATATTTATAGGCATATTTTAATGCATGTCTTATTTTTGCTAAATCAAATTCAAAATGTTTCTAATTGAGACAGCACTGTATTGAATCAAATGAAATTATGTTTTTGTGCATCCGTAATCCCTGAGTGGTGCTGCTGACTGAAAATGTCCAGCCAAGACTGGTCCAGTGGTCAGAAACTGACCACTGATTAAGGTATAGAGGATGAAATAAGACATAGGAGCCATAGTCTTTTACTATACACCTACACGGTAGACCAACAAGGTAGGTGTGTCTAATAAAGTAGACAGTGAGGGCCGGACGCATGTACTGCGCATAGCCTCGCCCACTAACTGCAGGCCCGTAAGGCACAGTGAAATAATGGAGCTGTCAACATGCTCGCAAAATGAAAGTTCAGTGTTGAAGGGTGTCTTCCTCACCAAAACATTCTACAGAGGTGTTGTTTAACTCTGACTAAGAAAACAGAGTTTGTGAAATGACAACACAGAGAACATGTGCATAATGTAGCCGCATCACAGGGTATTATGCAGAGCGGTTTCTCAAATGCGGGACCAGAGAATTTAAACAGTGTAATTCTGCTGGTCAACATTCTTTAAGCACATGTTCAGTGCTCATCTAGCCGCTGCATCTGATAAAGGAAGTATCTCGACAACATGTCTTTTTAGACCTAAAGCAAATTTATAGCTGGCTTTAAAACGAGTAGGCAAATTGATGCAAAACTGGTCAACCCTGGTCAAATCTCAAAACGTTGTGTAGTATGTAATTAGCCATATGCAAGGCACGAAATACAGGGGGCCCTGTGGGGGGGAGGGAGAGTTTGAGACCCCCTAATTAACCTCTTGAACCACTTGAATGTGTCAAAATCAAAATTCTGGGGGGTGCCTGAAATTATGCTTATTATACTGTTATGCTGTTCATTTGGGTAAAATAGACATTCAATTACAAAATCTGGGAAATTCAGTGCTTCAAGAAATGCTCAGCTTCGCAGCCAGCCAATGCTGGAGTAGCCAGCCAACATGGGACCCGCTCGAATACCAGGCCGCACGTGTAGTATCTCCACCCACTTTTTATGCATTATCCTCCCGAAAATGCATACGCATGAGAAAGAGAAGCACATTTGTTTTTCCAAGCACACTGCTCATTTAGGCTCAAGCACCACTTTTGTATATAACATGAAGGCAGAATTTGTGTGTCCGATTTGCTGCCATAAAAAGTTTAGCCATAGGCTTGGACCCTGAGTGTACACAGTCTACACAGTATCTGGTCAGTGGTGGTCCTTGTTTGGATCCTTTCCACAGATGGATGGGGTTAAGGGGGGTTGATGAACTGTGCAGCAACAAATGGACTCTAGTCAGTAATTATAAACCAACAAAGCATTATGTAGCTACAAAGCCAAAGGTAGAGTCGTCTGCAACATTTGTAGGTATATATATTGTAGTACATAAGTAGTAAATAATTACATATCCTCTGCATAGGACACGCTTCTGCACACTTTAATGAGCAATTATTGTTTATTTCCAGAATTTAACGAATTGGGACATAAGAAAAGAAAACATCATAAAAAGTGGCCAGTGCAAAAGTTATGGCACATTTTATATCTGATTTTTTCTGGTATGTTAAACACAGCAAATAAATAGAAATCTACAGAAAAATGCTATACTTTAGTTTGTTACCTGTAGAGGATGTGTCAATATTTTCACTTAGAAATTCAATAAAACATGTAATTTAAGCCGAGGTGCTTAAACTTTTGTAGCTGTTTCTAATAAACGAATACATTTTCTAATACATTTTCATTCAGCTGTTACACTGCTTGAGAGAGGTGAAACTCAACTGTCAACTGTACAGTAGGAAAAAAGTAAAGCTGTATATATATATATATCTCCTGCCCTGCTCTCACCCTGCTTCCTCTGTTCATATTCCTCCTGGACATCAGACGGGCATGTTAACACTGACCACCTCCCCGTAACAGCTGGTTAGAGAGGCGCGCAGGCCGATCTTGACCAGATTGCTCGCTTAGGTGGACACGTCTCTCATCTTCTGACCACTTCCAGCACAGAGCCACTTCAAACGGCTGCGGCTGACGGAGGACAGAGAACAGAGTGCCTCTCTCTCTCTCTCTCTCACTCTCTCTCTCTCTCTGCAGACAGCACACTCTGTAGCGACACTCTGTATGTGCACGCAGGTAGAGCAAGGAGCAAGGTCCCTCATTTGTATCTGCCAAGACTGATTAATGATATTTCATCCTCTCCATGTTCTCCTTTTCTTTTCGCTGCTTCTCTCTCTCCCCTGCACTCCTTCTCTCGTTCTCATTTGCCTACAGCTGCTGAATCGCAGGGACTGCACTGGCGAGGATGACTTCATTTAGGCCACATCAAACTGCATCATAATGACACATGCATGCACAAACACGGCGGCACTGTACTCTCTGCGTGCATGTTTACATTAGGCGTGCCATAGCCTTTACAGCAAGCAAGCACATCAAGGTGCTGCTGCTGAGGCTGATTCATTAACCCTCCCACTGACACACATACACGCGCAACCCTGTTCCGAGGAGCGCAGGTTGTCTATCACGTTGGTGCAGTAGCTACGAGAGCCAATTAGAAGTGCTAATCAGCCTAAAGCGCCACTTTCTACCGCAGTCCAAACAAGCGATATCTCTCTCTCGCTCTGCGGTTGTTGTCTTGTTGTCCCTCCCCCTCGTGATGACTAAATTACTCCTGATTACGTTGGTTCTGGCCGGTAACTGTCAGACGTGGAATTATTTTCTCCGCTGTCAATCTACAGCAACTTCAAGAAAAAGCGTCTCAGCGAGCACAATGGAGCATGTTCTGTTCCTTCCCATGGCTGTCATTAACAGCAGGCGCCCGATGTTTTATTCGTCAGTTTTTCATTCCACTGGCGAGACTTAAATTTGAACCACACTGCAACATAGCACTGTGTCGCTTTCGCCATACAGAGTTTGGACCATTGTGCCCCTCTCCTTACACACACGCACAACACAGCAATTGAACGGTGGGATTCACTTAATCTAGTTTCAAAAGAGGAAGGTAAAGATTAAACCGGCTCGTTCCTGATCATTTTCGAGGAGCAGACCATCGCTGAGAATGAGCCATGTGTGGATTAAACACATATTTGATTAAAACTGCATTTGATTATTTTTTTTCCTCCAAGTCCATTTCCTTCCGCGCTGCCTCCTGAGCCCCCCTGATGGATTTGTGGGTAGGAGCGTGCGTGCACTGTGTCGTACAGATGAGGACTCGGGACTGATTACAAAAACAAATTAATCTTTATTCAGACGGGAGTGCAGTAAATCTCTCAAAACACAAACAAGTATTTACAGCTCCATAATCGTGTGTAACAAGAGGAGTCCCATAAAATCCTCTAGAAGAGTGCGCCCTGGCTTTTTAATGTAAGGCTGCAGAGGGGCGGTTTTGAGCAAAACTGATTAAAAGCAGAATCTGATTACGATCGTTCATATTCAGCTCTGAAAGCCACCTGCCTGTTTCTCAGGTGCAAATGGGTTTAGTGAGGAGGATTATAAGACATCCGACACTCGGCATGCTGTGTAATGGGACAAAACATGAGGTATACACGAGGAGTCTTCTGGAAATGCCTGGAGAGCACCTTGCAGGAGAAAGAACAGAGCTTAACTATACTGCAGGAAAGATGAGAGAGGGCAAGAGAGAAGAGCACGACCTAGTAAATTAAACCTGGCGAGATTGGGTTTATCCTTAATGCAGCTTGTAAGACAACTGAACAATAGAAATGTGGGTGTCCCTATTACGCAGCGCAGTCTTGCACTGACTGGATCGATATGACATCAAAGCTCATCATCAAACTCAACTCAAGGCATTGAAGCTAGTCTGCCTTTCAATAGTCAAGGCCAGGGTGCACTCTCCTAAGTGCTGACCGCTGCCTATCAGAGAGCGAGGGGTGAGCATTTACCTGCTTAAATAGTGAACAATGAGAAACAGAAAATATTTACATTGAAGCATGTACAGTGTAAGTCCAGATGCCTTGGAGCTCTTACAGCTGTTCCTTGACATTTCTTCACAGCATCTCAGTGGTTGACCAATCCATAGGTCATAACGTTCTCAAAGTCCTTGAAGCTGATATGGCCGTCCGAGTCGTGGTCCACATGTCTGTCGGGAGAGAAAATTCACAAAGTAACTCAAGGCAAAGACTCTCAAAAAACAACATGTGGCTCCTCTTTTACTGCCCTGGATTAGTAAAATAATCCACCTTTGCAGTAAAACAAAGCTCTGCTGATCGTTTAACACAGTTTAACAATACATGGTCTTAAAGCTGGAGTTAATGTAGAACTGCTAATTCACCCTTTAACTCTGAAGGTGAAATAGCAATATATAGCAACGCAGACAACAACCTTGCCTAGCTAGTGGCTAATGAAAAGGCAAAGAGAAAGATTTAAGATGAACATCGATAATTTGGAGACGAACTGACTTATTTGCGTTTATAATCACTCCAGCTGGTTTCCTGATACGTTTAATCTGCAGCGAGACACTGCCAAACACTGGAAAGTCGCAAAGCTTAAGTCAGTTTCTTGTTTGAATTTTCCTGTTCCACCTTAAATGGTGAAGCAGTTACGTTCATTTAAGGTGTAACGGAAAAATTAGAACAAGAAGCTGGCGAATGAGAAGTTGACTTCAGCCTCATAACAAGCTGAACTTTGAGAGACATTTTACAAGAAACTGTTCTACTTTTGAGGAAAAGTTTCCTGCTGGAGATGCGAGAAAAGTGGCTATAGCTGAGCTAAAGCTTAAAGTCTGCGTTTTTGTTCATATTTTTAGCCTATAGTAGTACATTAGCACATACTGAGACATATTTAGAGACAAGATGGTAAAATAGACTACCATCAAAATGTTGTGGCTCCCAAGGTGGTTTGATGTTTACTGAAAGGACGAAAGGGCTCTTTTTCACATTTGGGTAGCCAACCCCGGCAGGTGTGGGTAATATTTTTAATATTTTCTACAACACTCACCAAATACATGCTTGCATCTGTAACATAATATTAATTCTTAATATAATAGAAGAACTATAATCCACATAATTCTAAAACAGGTGTACTGCATGATACGATTAAAAAGTGCATCCCACCCTGCTGTAGCTTTTAGAAAAATGCTGAGTATACCTAGTTGGCCGTGATTATGGATCAAGGTCTAAGTTTCATCAGAAACTTAGATGATCTGCATTCAGATGTGTGGGAACTCAGTAAGCAGGGATGGAAATTGTAGTCAAAAGCGCAACTCGGTCACTGCGATGCTTGTTCATTAGTGTGATATGTAAAGAAAAACAGAAGAGCAACAGTTCCTCAGGTGACTGAGAATGTCTATGTAGCACACGATCAGACCGTCTCTGCAATATTATAGCAGGGCTGCATTGCATAAACCCCTCTTTACAAAGACAAATGCACATTTGAGAATTCAGTGGTGTAAAAACCATCAACACTGGTCAACAGAGTTGTGGAAATAGTGATCTGGCCAGATGAGTCATCTTTCACCAAAAGTGAGACTGCATGCGTGGTGTTCAGCCCTGAATGCTTAACCCCTACAGTGAGGGGGTCTGCTTGTTCTGTTATCCTACGGGGGGCAATGTGCTGCCATGGTTTGGGTCCACTTGTCTGCTTATAGGGAAGGGTCACTGCAAATCAATGCAAAGTTATTTGGTCTTTGCAGTCACCAGATTTCAATGCAACTGAACACTAATAGAGGTTTTGGAAGTGTTAGCATTCACCACCATCATCAAAACATCAATTGAGGGAATATCTTTTGGATAATTTGTGTTCCATCATATACGTCAAGGTACGCTGAAGCTGTTCTGGTGGCTTGTGGTGGCAACTTACTGAGACACTTTACCTTTACATTGGTTTTTCTTTCGTAATTTGTTGCATTTCTCATGATGCATATTGTGTATCGTGAAGATATTGTGATGTGATGTCTCTTATCGTGATGTTATGTGTTGTCTACCTTTAGGCAACAGCGTGATCTTGTTAGTTAATGAATCCTAAACACAAGTGCAAAGTAGCCTGAAACAAACTGCACACAGCCAGAATGCCACCAACACAGAAAAACTGAAGGCTTTATTGAGCAACTGTCAGTGACTGATATTAGCTCAAAGCGAAAACAGGAAAAGCAATAAAAAAAACTGTTTCAGCTTCCTCCCTCAAATTCAATATGGCATGCTGTGTTTAATTTCGACACCGGTCATCTTCATCAGTATCACTCTCGGTAATGCAAGCTGTGTATGACACAGTGTTATTCTGGAACAAATACATATATTGATAAATGCCTAGCCAGTACGTTTCCTATGCCCTCAGATTGTATAAAATGGTCATTTGAAGCTTGCAGTCCCACTTGTTTCCAGTGCCGGTGGCTATGTGCTGTAATAACAGAATGGCAGCAGTGGTGGCAAGCCCACACACTCCTCTCCCTCCTGAGCTGCTCGTCTTGCACTGTAAAGCCACAAGTGAGAGCTGCCTGATTGACTTGAGTGAGCCGGCGCTTGACTTATTTCATGTCCTGATGGAGGTCCTTCCCCAGACAGGTGGTGGGCGTGGGAGGGAGGAGAGCCGCTCATTTTCAGCCGACTGAGCCTTTTATCAGGCCTGAGGGTGAAGGCATGCACTAAGAGCAGCCAGCCCAGTGGAAGAAGCTCCAGCAGCAGGGCAGGGTTTACACTTTTTCCCCTGGCAGCCCTGGATATGGGTGATGAGGGAGAGAGTAGCACAGACGGTGCTGCTGAACGCTTGCAGGAAATGCTCAGATTATAGTGACTTCAAATGAGAGCTAGCCATTTCATTTCCAGTAAGATTGTTGTTTTTGGTGGTGATGCTGGCACACCGTGAGCCTCATTATTAGCACACAGTAAGGTATGTAATACAAGCCATTCGGATTCCTCTAAATAATGCAAACCATAGTAATACAAACCATATAGATGAAGTGGCATAGCCACAATGTCATTTTAAGAGGGGCCTGGTTACAAGTTGAGGGGGATAACTAGGAAGTATTGCTCCTAGTTATCCTCCTTAGTAGCCTATTGGTCACAAAAATGGAACAGTCCTAATGAGGCTAAATGGAGAGCAAAAATGGAGCCCACTGCGTTGTGTTTGTTGCGTTTGCATTTCTTCATGGAAATGGAGGAGATGTTCTTATCTAGTACGATAAAATACACATACAAATACTTCTAAATAAAATACGATATATGGGCGACATACGATCTATGGACGAACGCTTTAATTGATCAGTCATTTTACACTTTATAAGGTAACGAAGACGAATTCAAGGAATGTGAACAACTTACATTTTAAAACAAGCTCTGCTCCAACGGCTTTGTTTTCCGTCATTTGTGTACATAGAACTGTGGGTAACCGGAAGGATACACCTGAAGTGTCCTTGAAATCGCTCAGAACGGAGGCTGCATTTCTAGGCCGAATACGAAGGATCCTTCAGTTTGGAACAGCCTGCTACGATGTAGCAGCCGAGAAGTGCAGCCTAGGCTTTGGAACGCAGCTAGAGATTTCCTAATTATTTTTTTCTGTAGTACTGAGCTTTGTTTTCTTCATGACAATCAACTTACCTATTCACTAGTCAGGTAGGTGGTAACCTGTGCTAGGAACAAGCAAGCAGCGCAGCTAAGTTCCAAAATCTGCAGAAACAGCTAAACAGGGTAATACAGTGTTTACACGTTGGTGTTGTCCATGCCCGTGACATCCAATGGCAGGATGCAGCGGTGTACCACGTTACCAAGAAAACAGCAGCTGCTTAAAACTGGTGACGATCAAAAGGCAGCTTTGGTGGTCACTTTTATTTGCTTATGGTGGAAGAAGGCACAAGGATGTAAGATCTCAGCACTTTTGGCTCATCCTGTACAATAAGAGTGCAAGGTGAATTACATTTTGAAACATCTGAAGCATTAGGGCATCAGGACAGCATTTGAGCAGTGAAAAGGAAGGGGGGCTTCCAGATAAGTAGGCCTGCCCCTGATATAGAGTACAATATATAATACAAACCATATAGAATACCCTAAATAATACAAATCATATAGAATACACTACATAATACAAACCATCTCAAGTGCATTATGTAAAAACACTGGCTGGATTAAGTATGTGGACTCCATTATGTAATACAAGACCATTGGTGATCACCCTGCACAAACACACCTTAATTCAGTAAGTTACAAGGTTTAATAGCTGTGTTAGAAGACAACCTGTGCGAGACTCTCGAATTGGAATCGGACACCCTTGGAAATATGTAATACAAGCCAATAGACTCTCTCCAGTATTAAATATAGATAATACATCTGAACTAGATATACTACCTGTATAACACTGTATGTGTAACAAATAATGGTTCATGTACTGTGTAGAAATCAAGGATCATCAAGTTTTGCTGTCTTTATTCCAATTTAAAGACGTGACTTTAGCCACTGTCCTATCCTCTACACACTCCAGAGCCATCTCAATGGACCAGAGAGGAAATGTTTCTGTGTGCTCTCAGAGCGAGCAAACGCTCGATGGCATCGGCAGACGAGTGAGGATGAACGAGCAGATAAAGACGATGCGAGAGCAAACTGAATTGCATCAGTGCAGGGAAGGAGGGAATTACAGACTATTGGAAGAGCTTTCTTTTTCACTCAGTGCCCACTTCTCCATTGGAGATTAAACTCAAATGGCCATACTGTTGCTGGAGTGGAATCTCCTATTTCCTGCTCATTGGATCTTCCTTCCTCCATCCGCCGCTTATTGCCAACACCATGTCACGCAAATCTGAGAGCATCCGTGTTGCCCCATCTGATAAGACCAAGCGTACATGCAGAATTCATTAAGTGGACGTTGTAGCTGAAGCCAGAATCAATCCAGGGTGAAAGTCACTACAAGAAAACCCGTCTCTTCTCCTGTGGGTGAACAAAAGAACAAACATGGGTGGGGATACTCACGGGGGGGAGGCTGTGTGTTTTCCTGCCTCATTCTCTCACTGTGTGATTTCTCTATTACTCCGAGCAGCAGACTGATCGAGTGCAAACACAGCAGATGTGAGGGAAATTTGGTAGCAACAGGGAGGAGAATTAAAACAACATTAAGTATCCAGCAACTGGAAAATCACACTTTCTTGTTCCATGCGGG